CTTTTTTTTTCTAACTTTCTTCATTACAGCTGTAATTTTCTTTTAACTTATATTTTATTTTCATCTTTTTTTCTCTTTCATTTCTCTCTCTCTCTCTCTCTCTCTTTCAAAACTACTACTTTTGTTTATTTTTACTTTATCGTTTGAAGCTGTTAGCTTTCATTTTTATCTGATAAAAAAAAAAAAAAATTTGTTTTTTTTTTTCTTTTTTCTCGATCAAAATTTTTGAGATATTCAGGAAATTGTTAGCTTTTTTTCTTTTTTTTTTCATTTCTCTACTTCTTCCTTTCTCTCTCTCTCTCTCTCTATGATAGATAGAAAGAAAATAAGAGATGGGAGAAAGAGTGATACTGATGCTGATAACGATGATAATGATGATAACGTTGATTGCTACATAGAAATTTGCTTTTGCTTGGTAGTTTTTTTTTTTTTTTTCTTTTTGAGTGAAATCAAAATGTTATATTTGCAAACTGAAAATGCATCACTTTCTCGACAGCTGCGCTTCTCGAGATTATCATTATCATTATCATTATCTCTTTGCATACTTTTTTAAGCTAGAATATAATGCAGCATTGAAAGATAGAAGATAAGTGAAAAGATAAAGAAATGTTATCTCTATCACATACTTTACATGTGCAATCATAAATACACACACACACACACACACACATATAAGATTCTCTTTTCTTTCTTTCTCTCTCTCTCCCTCTCCCTCTCTCTCTCTCTGGATATGTTTTTAAGTGTATTTTGCTATTGAAATGATTTTTCAAAAATTTCTTTTAGTCTCTTTGAGGCAACAAAAACAAACATATTTACCCAGCTCATTCGTCGTACCTTCTTTTCATACGAGTTTTTCCGCCATTTTACAACTAAACAACCGTATTAGCTTTTCGTCAGCTTAAAAATTTTTTTTTTTTTTTTTTTCATTTATTTTATTATTATGAATCATTTTTTTTTTTTAATTTTAATTAACAAAAAAAAAAAAAAAAAAAAGAAATGATGATTAATTGATATTAATTAATTGAAAATTGAAATTTTTTTTTTTTTTTTTTTGAGTTATATTAATTATAGTAGTATAAGTTATATATAATAGAGGTATTACTTTTCTTTTTTTTTTGAAAAAAAAAATGAAATCTTCCAGAAATTTGATCTTTATGAAAAAAAAAAAAAAAAAGTTAAAGAACATTTCTCTCTAACTTTTGTGTTATTTGATCATTTTGCTGTTAAGATGAAGCTGAAAATACTGATTATTACATATCATTAAGAGTTTGTTTATCTTAGTAAATTGATCCTCTATGAACGGTATTTCTTTCTTATCTTTTTACTTTTTTTTGTTTGTTTGTTTACCTTTTATTTTGTTTGTTTATCAAGTGATAATTTTTGTTTTTTGTTTTTTTATATTCTATTGTTATAACATTTCAACTACTAGTAAACTTTTTTCTACTGATAATTAACTGATTATTACATATCATTAAGAGTTTGTTATCTTAGTAAATTGATCCTCTATGAACGGTATTTCTTTCTTATCTTTTTACTTTTTTTTGTTTGTTTGTTTACCTTTTATTTTGTTTGTTTATCAAATGATAATTTTTGTTTTTGTTTTTTTTTATATTCTATTGTTATAACATTTCAACTATTAGTGAACTTTCTTCTACTGATAATTATTTATCAATATATTATAATTGTTACTTTTTCCCCCCACCACTTTTTTGTTTGTTTGTTTATCTTTTATTTTGTTTATTTATCAAATGATAATTTTTGTTTTTGTTTTTTTTTTTATATTCTATTATTATAACATTTCAACTATTAGTGAACTTTCTTCTACTGATAATTATTTATCAATATATTATAATTGTTACTTTTTCCCCCCACCACTTTTTTGTTTGTTTGTTTATCTTTTATTTTGTTTATTTTGTTTGTTTATCAAATGATAATTTTTGTTTTTGTTTTTTTTTTTATATTCTATTATTATAACATTTCAACTATTAGTGAACTTTCTTCTACTGATAATTATTCATCAATATATTATAATTGTGTTATAACAATGATATAAAGTAGAAAATTTAGTCATAAATGGATGATATGTATATGAATAAATTATACATCTAAATTTTGTTTTTTTATTTTATCTTAAATTTTAAACTTCAAAAATTTTACATTTTATATTTATGCATGAAAAAAACAACAAACTTTTTCATATTGTAATTGTTATAATTTTTCTATCAATTTATCATCTAAACAAATTTATCATCTAATCATATTTTAATTATTACACTTTTTTTTCATTATGATTTGAATATTTTTCCTACGATTCTTTATTAATTAATTGATTTTATTAAAAAAAAAAAAAAAAAAAAAAAAAAATGAGTGAAACAATACATGTATTAGAATTTAAATTAAAATTTAAAATATATCTAAGATATTTTACGAAAATTATATATTATATATAAATGATATATTAGTATAATTAAAATTGAAATAATTAATGACATTAAAATTTGATAATAATTCAACTAATAATTTAATTCCCTAAAATTTATCAGACGAATAAATTATTCAGATATTAGATAGATAAATTAGCTTAAAGTAATACTTTTCTTACTATTCAGATAGGTAAGTTTGCTTAAAGTAATACTTTTCTTATTTAATAAAACTGATTAGGTTATTATTTCATTTAATTGAAATTTAAAATGAATTTGAAAACAGAATGATCTTTTCTAGCTTCATTTCATATTTATTACATTTTCTTTAATAGTTTCATACATCATGCAAGTTAAGCAGTTAAATTTTATTTTTTATTTTTCATTTTTAAATGATTTTTAATAAAGTGGAAGAAAATTTTTTGAATTTTAAATGATGACAGAGAAATTTAAAGATAGAATAAAAAAAAAAAATTTTGAGCATCTGTGAATTTTATAATGTAATAAGAATTAAGTGTTCCATTTCTCAATATTATAAAATATTATTTACTAAAAAAAAAAAAAAAGAAAAGAAAAATTGATAGAAAAATAATCAAAATAAGCTTATTTAAATAACTTTTATTATTTTTACTACAAAAATTATTTTTTAAAAATGTCACTTATTAATTAAATAATTGAATATTATTTCCAAATTTATATATTCTATTAACTTTTATTATTTATAATACAGAAATTAATTTAAAAAACATTACTTATTAATTAAATGATTAATATTAATTATCAATTTATATATTCTATTAACTATTCTTATTTTTACTACAAAAAACTAATTAAAAAAATGTGCTTATTAATTAAATAATTGAATATTATTTCCAAATTTATATATTCTATTAACTTTTATTATTTATACCAAAAAAAATTAATTTAAAAAATGCCATTTACTAATCAAATATTTGAATATTATTTCTCAATTTATACATTCTATTAACTTTTATTATCTATAATACAAAAATTAATTTAAAAAGTGTCAATTATTAACTTTTATTATTTATACCAAAAAAAATTAATTTAAAATATGCCATTCAAATATTTCTCAATTTATATATTCTATTAACTTTTATTATCTATAATACAAAAATTAATTTAAAAAGTGTCAATTATTAACTTTTATTATTTATACCAAAGAAAATTAATTTAAAAAAATGTCACTTATTAATTAGACAATCGATTATTATTTGTCAACCTTATATATTCTGCTATTTAATTTATAATTTATAAAAATTTTCCTTCCTCTTTTACACCATATATTTACATCTATATTCAACAAATCTCTCTATTATTATCAACAATCTCTCCCAAAATAATAATTGAAATTATCAATTCATCCGCGACAAATGAATTTTTTGTTTCGATAATCAAAAAAAAAAAAAAAGATGAAATTGCTATTTATATTCTAATATAATTAATTTGTAGTAAATTGAATACTTCAGATGACAAAAATGCGACAAAAAAGTGTTATTTGTTTCAATTTGGAAAAAAAAACTACAAATTCATTGAAATTATTAATCACTGATAAAAAAAGTGTTAAATTTCTGTAAACACTTTTCTCTTTTTTTTTTCATTTCCTTTTTTTATTCCTACTACTGTTAAATTGCATTTATTATTTGTTTACTTTTTTTTTTTTCACCGATCAAATTAATGCTGTAAAGACGAACACAAATCAATGATACAACAAATGGAATAATTTATTTAAAAAAATTAATTTTGAAATAACTAAAATGATTATTACTTTGTTCAAATCTATCATTGTAAAGTATACATCTATATTTTTCTTCCTTCTGGCTATACTATTAATCTGAAAAAAACAAAAAGTGAAAACGAAAAAAAAAAAAAAAAAAAAACGAAATTTATTTTGCTGATTGAATTTGTTTGCAAAAAAAAAAAAAAAAAAACATAAGAATTGTTTATTTGTTTGATGGATTTATTGGATATAATTTTTCATTGATGCACTAATTTCATTCATTCAATTCAATTCTCTCTCTCTCCCTCTCTCTCTCTTCTTCTTCTTCCTCTTCTCTTTATATTTTTAAAATTTAATTAAATTAACAAACAAATTTAATTTTACAAAGTAAAAATCTTAATTATTCTATTCATTTCATAAAAGCAAAAAAAAAAAAAAAAAATTTGAAATTAAATTCTTATCTAAAATAAATTTTAAATTTTCTTATCGTTAAATATTTACGTTTAATAAATTATTTAAAATAAAACAAAAAAAAAAAAAAAAAAAAAAAGAAATCTACGTTTTAATTTGCTATAATATATTTATAGCTCTCTTCTCTTTATTATGCATGTACCGTACAATTATCATTCATTTATCAGTTATCATCATCTATCCTATCGTTATTACTATTATCATCATCATCATCATCATCATTACTATTAATAATAAGAAGAGTGATAACTATTATTATTACTACTACTGCTATTATTATTATTATTATTATTACTACTACTACTACTACTGCTACTACAACAACAACAACAACAATAATAATTATAATAAAATAATTGGAATTGGAAATGTTACATTTTTCGAGTACCGATACGGACGACAAAGCTCTTTCGGAAGAAGAACGATTTTATTATCTCCGATTGATGGCAAAGCCATCAAAAGGGAAGAATGAACCAATAAAAACAAAATTTGTTCGCTGGTCACTACCATGTCCCCAACAAGAAAGTCTTGAAACTGACCGTGATCTCGAGGTATGTCGCAACGTTTCCATCATTCACGTTTCTATTTCAACGTTTTCCATCATTCACGTTTCTATTTCAACGTTTTCCATCATTCACGTTTCTATTTCAACGTTTTCCATCATTCACGTTTCTATTTCAACGTTTTTCATCATTCACGTCTCCATTTCAACGTTTCCATCATTCACGCTTCCATTTCAACGCTTTCGTCATTTACGTTTCTATTTCGACGTTTTCATCATTCACGTCTCATTTCAACGTTTCCATCATTCACGTTTCCATTTCAACTTTTTTAGCATTAGCGTTTCCATTAAAACGTCTTCGTCATTTACGTTTCCATTTCGACGTTTTCATCATTCACGCTTCCATTTCAATGTTTTTCATCATTCACGCTTCCATTTCAACGCTTTCGTCATTTACGTTTCCATTTCGACGTTTTCATCATTCACGCTTCCATTTCAATGTTTTTCATCATTCACGCTTCCATTTCAACGCTTTCGTCATTTACGTTTCCATTTCGACGTTTTCATCATTCACGCTTCCATTTCAATGTTTTTCATCATTCACGCTTCCATTTCAACGCTTTCGTCATTTACGTTTCCATCATTCACGCTTCCATTTCAACGTGTTCCTAATCCATGAAGGCTTCATCACTCTTTTTTTTTTTTTAAATTTTTATTCTAACAATATAAATGTATTTTTTTAAAAAATAGAAATAATTGGTAAATATTTATTTGTTTTATAAAATCATAGATTTTTGAATATTTTTATTAAGGAATGATTGCAAATTTGAAATATTTAAATTTCATTTTATTGATTGAGTTATTATTATTATGTATTTTGAAAGTTATATATCAGGATTTTATTTTATTAGTTAAGTTACTATTATTGTTTATTTTGCAAGTTAAATATTTGAATTTTATTTTATTAGCCACGTTACTATCATCATTATCTTGAAAGTTAAATATTTGAATTTTATTTTTAATATTTGAATTTTATTTTTAAATATTTGAATTTTATTTTATTTTATTTTATTAGTTAAGTTACTTATAATTATGTATTTTGAAAGTTAAATATTAAGATTTTATTTTATCAGTTAAGTTACTATTATCATTATCTTGAAAGTTAAATATTTGAATTTTATTTTATTAGTTATTTAGATTTCATTTTATCAATTAAGTTACTATTATCATTATCTTGAAAGTTAAATATTTGAATTTTATTTTATTAGTTAAGTTACTATTATTGTTTATTTTGCAAGTTAAATATTTGAATTTTATTTTATTAGCCACGTTACTATCATCATTATCTTGAAAGTTAAATATTTGAATTTTATTTTATTAGTTAAGTTACTTATAATTATGTATTTTGAAAGTTAAATATTTAGATTTTATTTTATCAATTAAGTTACTATTATCATTATCTTGAAAGTTAAATATTTGAATTTTATTTTATTAGTTAAGTTACTTATAACTATGTATTTTGAAAGTTAAATATTTTGATTTCATTTTATCAGTTAAGTTACTATTATTGTGTATTTTGAAAATTCTAAAGATTTTAACTTTTTAAATTATAAATTTTTTTTATAACTTTAAATTTTATAGCAATATAGCAGAAGAAAATATAAATTACATATTATTATTCTTAAAAACATTTTTCTCTAACGATCGATGATAAAAGATAACTGAAAATTTTCAATTTAGCAATTTAAATAAATATTATAAATGTTTTTTCTTTCAAATTTTGGAATTCTTTTTCATTATTTTCAATGTTTGATAAATGATTAAATTATTTTAAATTACTTTTATTATTATTAATATAATAATATTTATGGAGTAGAAAGCTATTGAAATTACTAGAATAATGCAAAAAGTTTTCTATTAAAATTTTTAGATTATATTTATATGAATTAAAAAATTTAGAATTATATTAAAATTACTACAAATTTTTCATATTTTAAAGTTAGTTAAATATAAAAATTTCTCTCTCTTCACCGAATCTAATAAATTTAGCCATTTTTATAAGATTATTAAATTAAATATGTACAAATATTATTTTATTAACCTTATTTTTTCCTTTTTTAAATTTATTTAGGTTTATTAATTTGAAACAATTTTTTAAAATGCCTTAAACGTTTATTTTGAATGAAAAAATTAAATTATTTTGCTTCTTTCAAAACAAATAAAAGAACCAATTATATCGCTTTTAAAAAGTATCTTTTTATCATTTAAAATATTTGCAAAATTATTTAATATTTTTTTAATTTACACAATTAACTTTAATTTGCTCATACAATATGAATATTTATTGTTATCACAATTATATCATCAAAATTTCCAGTACATTAATTTGGAAAAGCAAAAAAAAAAAAATAATAGTATCATTGATTGATAAATTTAAAATAAAATTAAATTATGCAACTTTGTTTTTTTTTTTTTTTTTTTTTCAAAATTTTACATCGATAGAAAGAGTATAAATAAATATTCTTTTCAACTATAAATTTTTATTAATTTTTTTTTTGTTAACTTTTACATATAACTTATCATTAACTGTCTTCTTTTTTGTTTTATTTTTTTACTAATTTTTGCAAAAAAATTTTTTTTTATTTTTTTAATTTTTTATTTTTTCAATGACGTAAACAGAGAGAGAGAAATAATTGATTAAGTATTTCTAATACTTTACAAAAAGAAAGAAAGAAAGGTAAAAAAAAAAAAAAAAACAATTATCTTATCATCATTAATTTATTCTTACAAAAGGTTAAAGTTCATTTCATTTGTCTATTTAACATTGTTAGATATTTCAATATTTTAGTTGAAAAAAAAAAAATGAAAAGAAAAGAAAAGAACAGTTGCAAATTTTTGTTTCGTTTCATTTTTCGAACTTTAAAATGCATTAGAGAACGATATTTCTTCTTTCATTTGTAAAAAATTTCAAATTATTTTTTTTTTTTTTTACATTTTACTTTTTTCAATCAATCAATCTGATTATTTATTTCACTTAAGAATCATATTTCTTTTAAAATATATCAAATTTCTTATGTAGATGTGTGTGTGTGTGTGTGTTCTGTGTTCAATGCTATTTAACTTTTTTTTTTTTTTAGCAAACAAAAAAGAAATTTTAAAATTTTGAACATTTTAAAACAGCGAGGATATATATATATCTGTTATGTTTATCTATTAACACTTTCGTAATAGAGTTGAAGCAATTTTGAAGTGCAAAATGAATTTTAAAAAAAAAAAAAAAAAGAAAAAAGAAAGGAAAAGCACTTTGTCTTAGCAACAAAGAATAATGTTAATACTCGCAGAAAATTAACAAAAAAAAAAAAAAAAAAATTGCAATTTTTTTTTCAATTTAATATTTATTATTGTTAATTATTACTATTAGCATTATTAATAGTATTATTAGTTATTGCTAGTATTAATATTATTAGTAGTATTATTAATTATTATTAGTATTAATATTATTACCAGTATTATTAATTATTTGGTAGTATTATTAATTATTATTAATAGCACAATTAGTTATTACTAGCATTAATATTATTAGTAGCATTATTAATTATTTGGTAGTACTAATAATAATAGTACTATTAATTATTATTAGTAATATTATTAATTATTTAGTAGTGTTATTATTATTATTAGTAATATTATTAATTCATGTTATTAGTATTAATTATTACTACTAGTATTATTAATTATTTGCTAGTATTATTAATTATTATTAGTAGTAGTATTACTAATCATTATTAATTATTACTAGTAGTATTATTAATTATTTGTTAGTATTATTAATTATTTAGTACTATTATTAATTATTATTATTACTATTATTAATTACTATTAATGGTATTATTATTAATTATTATTAGTAGTAGTATTACTAACTATTACTAGTACTATTATTAATTATTATTATTAGTATTATTAATTACTATTAATAGTATTATTATTAATTAATTAGTAGTATCATTACTATTATTAGTAATAGTATTACTAACTATTATTAGTAATATTATTAATTACTATTAATATTATTATTAATATAATAACTTAGATTTAGTTTTTTTTTTTCTGAAATTTAACAAAAATTTATGATATTTTTTTTTTTTTTAGAATGAATGAATGAATGGAAAAAAAAGGAAAAAACCTAAAAAAAAAGGAAAGAATAATAATTTATGAATTATATAAATAAAAAAAATTAGTTTTATTCAGTCTTTTTTTTTTTAATTTTATTGTTGTATTTGAAAAAGAAAAGTGGAAAAAAAATGAGTGCAAATATTTATTTAACTAAAATTTGAAAATATTTTTTCTAAAATAAATATTTTACAATGAATTTATTTTCTTTTTTTTCAAATTTTCAATTATAATTTCAAATAATTTTATCATTAATCTTTTTTCCTTCTTGAAAACAACAACAAATAACTTTTCAATATATAATTCCAATATGGAATTTTTTTTTTAAATTGAATTGTAAAATTAAATAAAAACGATGATCATATTTAATTGAAGTGTAAAATGAATTTAATATTCGATTAATTTTAATAAAATTTTTTTAGTTTAAATGTGTTCAAAATTTTTGTTTCAAAAAAAAAAAAAAGTAAATTGTTAAATAATAATAAATTTTTTTTTGAATTAATACTATTAATGAAATTTATATATCAAAAAAAAAATTTTTTTTTTTAATCTTTTATACTTTTCTAATTTGTAATTTAATATTTAATTAATTTTAATAAAATTTTTTACATCAGAAATTTACAGAGCCAAGCGATGCGTGTTGTACGAACAATTGGACAAGCATTTGAGGTATGTCATAAGGTAGCACAGGAGCAAATGCAAGAAAAGTATCAAGAAGATTCAGAGAGTAGTTCTAATATAAGGGTTAAAAGTAAGTTTAACTCAATTTTAGTTTTATTTTTTTTTTTTTTTTCAATAAAATTTTTTTGTTTATTTGTTTATTTTTTGTTAATTAAATGTTATAAATTGTAAATAATAGTAGAAAAAAAATTTTTTAATCAATAAGAAAATTTATAGTTATATTTGTAGTTTTTAATTTAAGGGTTAAAAGTAAGTTTAACTCAATTTTAGTTTTTTTTTTTTAATAAAAATTTTTTGTTTGTTTATTTTTTGTTAATTAAATGTTATAAATTGTAAATAATAATAGAGGAAAAAAAATTTTTGATCAATAAGAAAATTTATAGTTATATTTGTAGTTTTAATATAAGGTTTAAAAGTAAGTTTAACTCAATTTTAGTTTTTTTTCAATAAAATTTTTTTGTTTGTTTATTTGTTTATTTGTTAATTAAATGTTATAAATTGTAAATAATAATAGAGGAAAAAAAATTTTTGATCAATAAGAAAATTTATAGTTATATTTGAGTAATAATAATTAATTGTTTTAATCAAAGATTGAATTCAATTTTTTCATTTAACATTTAATTAAATTCCTTTTATTGAATTAATTAAATTACCTTTATTGCATGTCAACATTAATAAGTTAAAACTTTTAATTGTGTTTTTATTTGAAATCATTTTTGTTTTTTTTTCGTTTTTCTACTTCTTATCATTTATCACTTTAGTAAGCTTATCATAATCAAAAATTTAAAAAAAAGACGAAAGTTTTGTTTTTAATTTTAAAAACTATGACAGTTGAAAAGTTTTTATTACTTAAAATTGAATATTAAACTACAGTATTACTTGTTCATTGCATCAAAAGCAAATGTTTCGCAGTTAAAAGTATCATAAAATTGTATATACTATTATAAATAAATAAATAAATTAATTTAATCGGTTAAACAGAAACAAAAAAAAAAAAAAAAAATTTAAAAATTAAAAAAATATTATGTTTACTAATTAATTATCATGTAAAATTGATTCGTTCAATTAAATGAAATAAATTGATATTGCAAATTTTTTTTGCTATATCTTTGATGAAATGAAATAAATAAAAAGTTTTCAAAAAATCATTGTATGTATTAAAAAAAACAAACAATTAATTACTTTAATTAATTAATATAAAAATTTTATTAAATATTAATTAAATATAATATTTAATAAATTAATAAATTGAGCTAATAATCTCTAATTTTTACTTTAAATATTAGAAACAATAATTACTTTGTCTCTTTCTCTCTCTCTCCCTCCCTCTCTCCCTCTCTATCTTTTTAATTTAGTTTTTTTTTAAAAAATTTTTAACTACAAATGAATTAGTGTAATTATAATTTTATTGCTAACTAAAATGTTAAATTGTCTTTTAAATATTTAACGTACACAATGCATCAATCAAATTACTTTTCATTTATTTTTTTTTTTTTTTTAAAAAATTTCAAACAAAGCGCAATTAGTCATTTTCGCAGATTATTGCGAGAATGAAACTTTTTTAAGCTAAAATTTCCGCCTATTCATCTATTCCACTTTACCGCTTATCATTTTTTCAGGGTGCAATTTCCATAGTTTTTTTTTTTGAAATATTTATCCAATTATCAAATTCTAAATGATAACGCTTTATTTCATTATTATTTATTATCAAATTTTAAATTGAATTATTATTAATTTTATAGATATCAAATCTCGAAATGGCAATACTTAATTTTATTATCAAATTTTAAATTGAATTATTATTAATTTTATAGATATCAAATCTTGAAATGGCAATACTTAATTTTATCATCAAATTTTAAATTGAATTATTATTAATTTTATAGATATCAAATCTCGAAATGGCAATACTTAATTTTATCATCAAATTTTAAATTGAATTATTATTAATTTTATAGATATAAAATCTTGAAATGGCAATACTTAATTTTATCATCAAATTTTAAATTGAATTATTATTAATTTTATAGATATCAAATCTTGAAATGGCAATACTTAATTTTATCATCAAATTTTAAATTGAATTATTATTAATTTTATAGATATCAAATTTTGAAATGGCAATACTTAATTTTATTATCAAATTTTAAATTGAATTATTATTAATTTTATAGATATCAAATCTTGAAATGGCAATGCTTAATTTGACTATCAAATTTTAAATTAAATTATTATTAATTTTATAGATATCAAATTTTAAATAGTATTATTTAATTTTATTATCAGATTTTAAATTGCAATATCTAATTTTATTGTTATCAAATCTTGAATGGCAATATTTAATTTTATTATTATCAAATGCTAAATGACATATCAATTTCTTTTTTTCTTCAAGTTTTTAAATTATAATCATTATTTTTTATGAGACTTTAATGAAAGATACATTATAAAAGTTTGATTAATTAGAATTCGATTAATTAATTAATTAAAGTATTTGAAAAATGATTCTATTTGAATTTGTTTACATTTCATTGTTCCAAGTTATCTTGATAGTTTAGAATAACAAATTATTCATTGATTATTATATTGAACTAAAATTTATAAAAAATAATCTTCTTTTTTTTCTAACATATAAAAAAATTTGAATTTTAGCAATTAATCTTTGCAAACAGTAAAATAATTAAATTCTTCTGATTAAGTAGTAAATAAAGATTATTATGTAAATAAAAAAAAATTAAATGATAAATTGATTAAAGTTATCAAAGATTAAGAAAAGAAAGGATTAATTGTTTTAACAATGCGAGATTATCGAGCAAACAGATGATTTAAATAGATGAAAATTTAAAATTAAATAATAAACTGATTAAAGTTGATTGAATTAATTATTATAATACATTAATTGATTAAACGAAAACGATTTAGTATATAAGTTATTCAATGTTAAATTCAATTAAAAATTAAAAAAATAAAAAATAATTTAATAATTAGTCACTTATTCCTGCTGTTTTCTAGTCTTAAAATTAAATAATAAATTGATTAAAGTTGATTGAATTATTTATTATAATACATTAATTGATTAAACGAAAACGATTTAGTATATAAGTTATTCAATGTTAAATTCAATTAAAAATTAAAAAAATAAAAAATAATTTAATAATTAGTCACTTATTCCTGCTGTTTTCTAGTCTTAAAATTAAATAATAAATTGATTAAAGTTGATTGAATTATTTATTATAATACATTAATTGATTAAACGAAAACGATTTAGTATATAAGTTATTCAATGTTAAATTCAATTAAAAATTAAAAAAATAAAAATAAATCACATATTTCATTTATTTCTGCTAGTTTCTAATCTTAAAATTAAATAATAAATTGATTAAACTATTTATTATTATATATAAATTGAGTAAACCAATTATTATTTCACATTGTATAGTAGTATATTCTACGTAAAAAAAAAAATTCAAATTCAAATAAATGGTAAATCCAGTTCAAATATGTGTTAAATTCAAATAAAAATTAAAAATAAATAAATAAATTACATATTTCATTTATTTCTGCTAATTTCTAATTTTATGCAAATTTTTCAAAATTTTTTTTTTTTAGCAAATTGATTTAAATATTATTTGATTATTTTTAAATCTACGTCAACAAATCATAATTGTAGTATTAATAAGCTTTTTTTTCCAAACTTTAAACAAATAGCAATTAGCATTTTCATATATGCGACATATGCGCAAATAATTTTAAATATTATTTGATTATCTTTAAATCTACGTCAATAAATCATAATTGTAGTAATACTAAGCTTTTTTTTCCAAACTTTAAGCAAATAGCAAGTAGCATTTTCATATATGCGACATATGCGCATTTGATTTTTTCATATGCGACATATGCGCAAATTGATTTAAATATTATTTGATTATTTTTAAATCTACGTCAATAAATCATAATTGTAGTAATACTAAGCTTTTTTTCCAAACTTTGAACAAATAGCATTTTCATATATGCGACATATGCGCATTTTTTGTTGATTCTTTTTTCTTCCTTTTTTTTTTTTTTTTTTTGTTGTCTTTTACAATATTCATTTTACTTTTTGACATTGAAATAATCACTCATTTTTACTGAATCCATTATGATTAGTTATGTCAGACTGATGAATGACATAATATATCAAATCACTTATCACCCTTATCAAATATCAAATCACTCTTATCAAATTTCAACTTTATCCAACCTTTCACTCTCTCTCTCTCTCTCTCTTTTCGATCAAAATTTTGATTCATTGTTTGTCAGTTTTTAAAAAGAAATATCATTTTACAAGATGAAGTGCTTACTTCTTAATAATTTGCAAAATTTTCAAACGTTTGAAAATTTTACTCTTTCCATATTCTATTGATCTATAAATATATATATTATTCCATAATCAAACTGTTACTGATTAATTTAATCAACAAAAAAAAATTTTCTTCTTCTCTTATCAATCAATATTCCTTATCAATATCGATCACAAAAACAAAGAAGGAGAAAAAAAGAGGAACGAAATGCTTTATATGTTTATATCAGTATGATAATTTCATATTTCTTTTCTTTTCTTCCTATTTTAATTTTTTTTTTTTTTTGCATTATCATTATTTGCTTTTTTTACTGATAAGATAAAATTATTTTTCTTTTATAAATGATACTGATAAGATAAAATTTTTGTTTTCTTATATAAATGATAATTTTGTTAACACCAGCAAAAAGATATGTTAAAAATTTTACACTAATATCGTTTTAATTTGTTATCAAAATTTTAATGTCCTTTTTTTTTAAAAAAAAAAAAAAAAAGATTAAAAATTCTTTGTGAATTTTAAATTATTAATTAGGATAAAATGAAGATTTTTTTCCTTTTGTTTAATATATATATCAAATATTTTAAAATTTGATAATTAAAAAAAATTTTTGCAATAAATTTTGTTCATTGAAAATTTTTTTTTCTAAAAAAAAAAGTTAAGAATTGAAAAGTAAAATAAAAAAATTTAGTTAATTTTAAAATAAATATTTATAATATAGAAGTCTGGCTCCTCTAAAAAACACAAAGATTGGAGTGATCAACCTGATCTACAGCATTCTCATAAAAAGTTGAATTTATTTTCAACTGGAAATGCTAAAAATGATGCAAATGCAAGAGAGATTAAATCACAGCAAAATTTTTTGCGATCAAAGCGCAAATGTCGCAGATTCTTTTCTATCGAACATAAAAGGGATAATTTAGCTGGTAAGTGAAGAAGGAAAGAAAAAAAAAACAAAATCTAAAAATTATTTTAAAAATTTATTACAAGACTTATTTATTTGATTATTTATCAAAAAATAATAATTTAAAATATTATAAAAATTTTTTAATAGCAAAAAATAATTATAATTTTTGAGAGAGAAAGAGAGAGAGAGAGAGAGAGGGAGAAAGAGAAAAAGTGTGAAAATTTGTATTTTTCTGAACAGACTATTTATAATTTCAATTTCATTTATTATTATAAATTAAATTTTTTACTGGAAATGGAAATGAGTATATTAAATATATTTTAATTTGTGATAAATTTTTATTTATTTAGAATGAAAGAATATATTTGATAACAGTGCATTTGAACTTAACATTTACTTCATTTCATTTCCCTTTTTTTTCACATTTTAATTAAATTTTCATTTTTTTTTTTTTTTTTTGTTTCTCTTTTCCTTCATTTAATTTATCGCTTCATTTTAAATAAATTTTAAAATGGTTAAAAATAATAAAACTTTTTTTACTCTGCTTTTTTTCTACTAAATTCCAATTTCATGCAGACACTTAATTTGTATTTAACTCAGATTATGGTGTAAACAATTTTTACAATAATTTCTAAAAGTTTATCTTTACATATTAAATAATTTTTTTAATTTAAATTTTTTAATTAAAGATTAAATATGAATTAACTGCCTTACTATTATTATTTTGAATTTCTTCAATTTATTGACTATTAAGTTTATATTTCATTAATTGAATAATTTTTTTGTTGTTGTTTTTTTTTTTCAGAAAATTTAATAAAAATTAATAGATTTAGCATATTTTTCTAAATGAATTGAAAATAAAAACTTAACCACAAAAGGTATTTTAGGTATTTTAAATAATAATTTTTTATTTGAAAAATAATTTCTAGCAGAAAAAAAAAATTTTTTTTTTTTTTGTTCTTAGATAAAAGATATTAATTATTGATTTTTTTTCTTTTAAATGATAATTTTAATAAATTAAAATTGTATCAATTATAGATTCACTCACAAGTACTGAAGGTGATCATATTGAAATAGAGGAAAAGTTAGCAAAAGTAAGTGAAGCATCACGTAGTCCATCACCAACGGATGATCCACCACCGCTTACAACGTCTGGCACACCTGTCTACCTGCAAAAACGTCATTCCATAGTATTTATTTATTGCTATAATTTTTTGCTATTTAATAATAATAATAATTAATAATTAAAATAATATATTTAATAATTAGTATTCATTATTATTATTGCTATAAATGTTTAGTATTCATTATTATTATTTTATTTATTTATTATTATTTATTATTATTATTAAAATTATTTACTACCTATTATTATTGCAGTGAAATAATTGATAAGTTAAATGTTATAAATAAAGAAATTTTTGATCATTGAATTTGTTAGAGATGAATAATATATTTAATAATTAGTAATAATTTAATAGTTGTACAAATAATATAAATTGAATGTAATTATTATATTTATTTATTCTTATTATTGCTATAAATATGAAGTATCCATTATTATTACTTTATTTATTTATTATTATTAATACTATAAATATGAAGTATTCATTATTACTATATTTATTTATTTTTATTATTATTAATACTATAAATATGAAGTATTCATTATTACTATATTTATTTATTTTTATTATTATTAATACTATAAATATGGAGTATCCATTATTATTAATTAATTTATTTATTTATTATTAATACTATAAATATGAAGTATTCATTATTATATTTATTTGTTGTTATTATTTATCATTATTATTAATATTATTTGCTGCTTATTATCATTGCTATGAAATAATTGATAAGTTAAATGTTATAAATAAAGAAATTTCTTATTATTAAATTTATTAGAAATGAATAATATATTTAATAATTAATAGTAATTTAGTAGTTTTACAAATTATATAAACTGAATGTTATTGTTATATTTATTTATTGTTTATTATTTATCATTTTTATTTACTCTAAATGTGAAATAATTAATAAGTTAAATGTTATAAATAAACAAATTTTTGATTATTAAATTTATCAGAAATGAATAATATATTTAATAATTAATAGTAATGCAAATAATATATTAAAGTAATATTAGTATTTCAGAATAAATGAATTTCAGTTTGGGCAACGAAAATCATCCGATGCAATTTTAAATCCATCAGCTGCTCTAGAAGCAACAGCTTTAGCTACTACTAATGCAGCTAAAGATTGTGCTCAAGCAAGCACTTCCGGTGAGTCACAAAAATTCTCACCCATTCAAACGAATCCGTTACAGCAATCCGGTTCATTAATCGGAATTAATCCAACAATTGCTACCAGGTATCGGTTATCTATTTGCTCATTTAATTCTCTCTCTTTTTTTTCTTTCCTTTAAATTTTCCAATTTATTTTTTCACATTCTGCAAGAAGATTAATTTGTTAAATTTAAAATGGTAAATAAAATATACGTAGAATAATTTGAACTCTAATAATTTCTTTATGTTATCATTTACTTATTATTTTTTTGTATTCCTTAAAATTACTTTACATTTTTGTGTTAAATTAGTGAAATGGAATTTTTTTAAAGAGTAATAGATGAAATGAAATTTAAATTTTATTTCATTAAATTATACTGATACGTTACCGTTCTAAATTTTGTTTGTTTTTTTTTTTTTTTAAATTAGTGAAATGGATTTTTTTAAAAAGTAATAGTTGCTAAATTAGTGAAAAATATTTTAAAGAGATAAGAGAAATTTAAATTTCATTTCAATAAATTATAGTAACACATTTCATTAAATTATATTTCATTAAAATATTAAATTATAGTAACACATTACCGTTCATATTTAATTGCTTTAAATTTTGTTTGTTTTTCTTAAATTAGTGAAATAGAGTAATAGATGATTTTAAAAAGTAATAGATGAAATGAAATGAAATGAAATTTAAATTTTGCTTCATTAAATTATAGTGACACATTATTGTTTCTATAAATAGCTTTAAATTTTGTTTGTTTGTTTATTTTTTTTTTTTCAAATTAGTGAAATAGAATAATAGATGATATTAAAGAGTAAATGATGATATAAAGTGAAAATTTAAATTATATTTGATTAAATTATAGTGACACATTACCGTTCGTGTCCGGTTCCTCAACTTTACCGCATTCGATGACATGGGGACCACAGATGACCGCTGCTACTGCTGGTCAATTTCAATCAATGCAAACGCTCGATCAACGTGGTTTGCCGACTATGCCTTATTATCCTGTTTGTTCTGTTTCCCCTACTGACTCAAAATTTTATTTTTTAACTTTTTTTTTTTTTTTTTTTGAAAACTTTTTGCAATTATTTATTTTTCTTGTGTGCTCTTTCTTTCTTTCTTTCTCTCTCTCTCTCTCTTTCTTTCTCTCTCCCTTACATTTTATATGATGCATTTTCTAAAAAGACAAAAATATAAACAATATTGACAAAGAAAAATTATTATTATTTTTTTGTTGTTAATTGTAAATTATAAGTAATGCCTAATTTATAGTAAACAAAAAAAAAAAAAATCTTAGATTATTTGAAAAAATTTTTTCCTACATTTCATATTTTAATTGGTTAATTAATTAATTAATTACTTAATTAATTATTTGTTGTTTTTTCAATTTTTTTAAGATGCCAATAATTGGTCCATCAGCATCAATGCCATATGGACTTAGTTCACCATATTTATTATCACCTTATGCAACCTTACCATTACCGGGGAATACCTCCTCCTGTGAACAACAACCCTCTACAACTAATTCGAACATTCCTGGAAGTCCTCTTGAAGGACAACATGATCTCACCACCTATCAGCTCAGTTTATCATTAGATCAGGTATTTGTCTTTTTTTTTTAATAAAATTAAATTATTCTAATTTTTAAAAAAAAAGAGAAAAAGAAAATTTGAAATATAATGAATATTTTTTTTTTTTTTTAAATGCTAAATTATTATATTTATTTAAAATTAGATTACTTTTTTTTTTTTTTTTACTTCGTTATTTTTAGATCATATTATATTGAAATTCTATGAGTATTTTATTGAATTAAATTTTAAAATGAAATATTTCTTCTTAATTTTATCTAATATATTTTATTATATTTTAGATTATTTTAATAGAAATAAATTATTTTGAAAAAAATTTACAAATAGTTTTTTTTTTTTTTTTTTTTTTAAATGAAATGTTAATTTTATCTAATATATTTTATTATATTTTAGATTATTTTAATAGAAATAAATTATTTTGAAGAAATTTTACAAATAGTTTTTTTTTTGAAAATAATTAATTGAATAAAATTTTACAGTATAATCAACATTTGATACGTTCACAATTGGATCAAGCACAACAAACCGCACAGGTAGCAAGCTGTCAGGTGCAATTATTAAGAGATCAGTTGACAAGTGAGACAACTGCTCGAATAGAAGCACAAGTTTGTCACATTTATTTTTCTATCAAAAAAAAAAAAAAAAGAAAGCCAGAAATGATTTAAGAAAATTTTAAATTTTGTAAAATTTGTTTTGATTTTATTTATTGGAATAAAATTTATTTGTCTATTTAAAATAATCTTCTTTTCATTTTTTATTATCTAATAATAATGGATCTTTTTTTTTTTTTTAAATCTATGTTTCATTAGTATTTTATTGAATTAAATTTTAAAATGAAATATTTCTTCAAAAAGACTTCATTTATTACTTGACTCTTTAGACAGTCTCGATCTTGATTAATCTCGGGTAAATTAAACAAAAAATTATTTAATTAAACTTGTCACGTTGAAATTTAATTTCCAGGTAATAAACTTTAAAGAAGTGCTACATTTCAATTACACATATGAATGTATAGTTGCATAGCAATTTTATCACAATTACAGCTTATCAGTACGATCACAATTTCAATTACTACAAAAAATTTAATTCTGATAATAAAACTAATTGTTTCTTATAATTTAACTCGTTGATTTATAATTAAATTTATTTTTAAAAACAATAATTAAATTTATTTTTTCTAAAAAAAAAAAATAATTGAGAAAAGTTCTTGACTAAAAGTAATATTCTAAGCAATATAATATTTTATTCATTTTACAATTTTCATAGGTGTTTCTTTGTTTCTTGTAGACTAGTACTACCTCTCTGATATGTGATATGATATGATATGATATGTTATCATATCATATATCATATTTCAGTCACGAACACATCAGTTGTTGAATGCAAATCGTGAATTGTTAGAACAAGTGCAAGCGCTTGTTCTAAGGCTTCAATCATTGGAAACTAAACTTGCCGAAGAAATTCAAGAACAAATCAATCAACCAGTAAAAAAAAAAAAAAAAAAAAAATTTTCCTCTTCTTTTAAAATTATTAAAATGAAAAAAAGGAAAAAGAAGAAATTTTTGCTTTTTCTAAGCAATTTCAATTTTTAATTATATAAATTGATAAAAAAAAAAAAAAAAAAAAAAGAATTTTTATAACCTAACTGTAATTTATTTTTTTTTCTATTCAAATTTAATTTCATTTAATTTAATTCATTTTTTTTTTTTAGTCAACATCAAAAGGACATGCCGACTCATCAACAATATTAGCAAAGAATTTAGGAGGAGCAAGGCAAACATCACAATTAACTAATTCATTACATGAACAATTTAAAAATGAAGCAAAAGTTCCTGGACCACCACCGCTTGATCCTTCAAAACCATATCAGGTTACAACTTTTTCAATTTTAATCAATTTCAATTAATTAAACTATTCGTTTTTTTCAATCTAAATTTTTATTTGTTTGTTTGTTTTGTTTTTTTTTTTTTTAACTTTAAAATTTAAAAATTAAATTGCTAGCAATTTTTTTTTTGTTCAGTTGCAATCATTAGCTTTTTTTTTTAACTTTAAAATTTAAAAATTAAATTGCTAGCAATTTTTTTTTTTTTTTGTTTAGTTGCAATCATTAGCTGATATACGAGCTGGTTCATTACCACCGCAAAGTGTAGCAGTTCAATCGAAGACGACTAATTCCTCTTCAACAACAAAAAATACTGCTCGTACAACGGATGATTACGAAGCTCGAACTGAACCAGAAAGTGGAACAGAGGTATATTCTGATTATTTTTTAAACTTTTTTTTAAAGCTTTTTGAAATAAATAAAACATTAAAGCAGCTAGAATTAAGTGTTATCAGTTGTAATGATAACACTTATCAACCAGAAAGTGGAACAGAGGTATATTCTCATTATTTTTTAAACTTTTTTTTAAAGCTTTTTGAAATAAAAAAAAAAAAAATAAAACATTAAAGCAGCTAGAATTAAGTGTTATCAGTTGTAATGATAACACTTATCAACCAGAAAGTGGAACAGAGGTATATTCTCATTATTTTTTAAACTTTTTTTAAAGCTTTTTGAAATAAAAAAAAAAAAATAAAACATTAAAGCAGCTAGAATTAAGTGTTATCAGTTGTAATGATAACACTTATCAACCAGAAAGTGGAACAGAGGTATATTCTCATTATTTTTTAAACTTTTTTTTAAAGCTTTTTGAAATAAAAAAAAAAAAAATAAAACATTAAAGCAGCTAGAATTAAGTGTTATCAGTTGTAATGATAACACTTATCAACCAGAAAGTGGAACAGAGGTATATTCTCATTATTTTTTAAACTTTTTTTTAAAGCTTTTTGAAATAAAAAAAAAAAAAATAAATAAAACATTAAAGCAGTTAGAATTAAGTGTTATCAGTTGTAATGATAACACTTATCATATGTTAGATATATTTATTCATTGAGTATGATCAATTTTTTCATTTAAATATTTAAAATTTTAGACTATTCTATATTTTATCAATTATAGATACCATTGATCTACCGATAGTTATTGATTTATTGATAGTATTTCTTATGCTTTTTCTTTTTTTCAACTTTATCTGAATGAATCTCACAACTGATCATCTATTTGGATGAGATTGGTCTGTTCAAATGAATTCTATAGATGATCTATTTGGATGAGATTGATCTGTTCAAATGAATTCTATACTTGATCTATTTGGATGAGATTGATCTGTTCAAATGAATTCTATAGATGATCTATTTGGATGAGATTGATCTGTTCAAATGAATTCTATACTTGATCTATTTGGATGAGATTGATCTGTTCAAATGAATTCCATAGATGATCTATTGAATGAGATTGATCTGTTCAAATGAATTCTATAGATGATCTATTTGGATGAGACTGATCTGTTCAAATGAATTCTATACTTGATCTATTTGGATGAGATTGATCTGTTCAAATGAATTCCATAGATGATCTATTTGGATGAGATTGATCTGTTCGAATGAATTCCATAGATGATCTATTTGGATGAGATTGATCTGTTCAAATGAATTCTATACTTGATCTATTTGGATGAGATTGATCTGTTCAAATGAATTCTATACTTGATCTATTTGGATGAGATTGATCTGTTCGAATGAATTCCATAGATGATCTATTTGGATGAGATTGATCTGTTCAAATGAATTCTATACTTGATCTATTTGGATGAGATTGATCTGTTCGAATGAATTCCATAGATGATCTATTTGGATGAGATTGATCTGTTCAAATGAATTCCATAGATGATCTATTTGGATGAGATTGATCTGTTCAAACGAATTCCATAGTTGATCTATTTGGATGAGATTGATCTGTTCAAATGAATCTCACAAATGATTGATCATTTTCTGGCCCTAAATTCAAATATATAGCTAGAAATATAACCTATCTAATTGTAAAATATTTGGTACTATTGCTTTTATCATTTATATTTTAATTATCATTCATTTATCATTTATATTTTAATTATCATTTATTTATCATTTATATTTTAATTATCATTTATTTATCATTTGATAATCATTCATTTGTTACAGGAAAATATTGCAATGGGAATGAAATTTTTGATAGAAAAATTCATAATAAATGAAGATAAGATAGTTTTTATAAAAATTTTTAGGATACGACAGATTACAGTTCTTCGGATCAATATGAGAAAGTACCATTTCCACTAATTCAACAACAGAAATTGGTACCTCTACCTGAACCACATCTCAATGTACTAATGTCCAATCCACAGGTAAATAAAATTTTAACTAATTGATTCATTGATTTCTTCACTTATATATTTTACGATTGAATGAAAAGAAGGAATACTATAAAATTTGTTTTCTTATGATAAGATTGTTTATTTCAGATAAAGATAAGTAAGATAAGTATTTTTATTTCAGATAGTATTCTAAAATTTCAGTAATGTAAACAGATGATAAGATTGTTTATTTCAGATAATACTATAAAATTTTTTTTTTTTATGATAAGATAGATGATAAGATTGTTTATTTCAGATAAGTATTGTAAACAAACAAATTGATAAATTTCAATTTTTACACAAAGAAATAAGTTTTCTCATAAATCTAAATTTATTTCAGCTTTTCTTTTTTGCAGGTTTTACCAAATTTATCATCATTTTTCTCTGCTCAATCAACACCAACCTCTGATAATTTTATTTCCAACTATCTAGCTTATCCAGTACGAAATCAAAATTCAGAAATTAATAAGGTTAAAATAATTATTTCTTTAAATAGTAAATTTTACTAATAATGTATCAAAATTTTCAATTATTTCGTTTATTTTATTAAAAAATTTTTGTTTATTTATTTACATCAAAGATATGTTATAGTTTACTCTGATTTTTTTAATTTATTTATTTACTTTTCAAAATAGTTTTATTTCCAACTATCTAGCTTATCTAGTAATAAGGTTAAAATAATTATTTCTTTAAATAGTAAATTTTACTAATAATGTATCAAAATTTTCAATTATTTCGTTTATTTTATTAAAAATTTTTGTTTATTTATTTACATCAAAGATATTTTATAGTTTACTCTGATTTTTTAATTTATTTATTTACTTTTCAAAATAGTTTTATTTCCAACTATCTAGCTTATCTAGTAATAAGGTTAAAATAATTATTTCTTTAAATAGTAAATTTTACTAATAATGTATCAAAATTTTCAATTATTTCGTTTATTTTATTAAAAAATTTTTGTTTATTTATTTACATCAAAGATATTTTATAGTTTACTCTGATTTTTTTAATTTATTTATTTACTTTTCAAAATAGTTTTATTTCCAACTATCTAGCTTATCTAGTAATAAGGTTAAAATAATTATTTCTTTAAATAGTAAATTTTACTAATAATGTATCAAAATTTTCAATTATTTCGTTTATTTTATTAAAAAATTTTTGTCTATTTATTTACATCAAAGATATGTTATAGTTTACTCTGATTTTTTTAATTTATTTATTTACTTTTTAAAAAAAAAAAAAAAAAATAATTTTATTATAGGATGATGAAGAGCAGCAAAATCCTTCATCAACTTCACGACGTATAAAAGAACGATCAAAAACATTGAAAGGTGGAGCATTATTTAAACGAATGTCATTTAATCCAAAACTTTGGGAGACAAAACGTGGAAAAGATATGGAATTAATAAGTACACCAACGATTGAAAGTATCGATGAATGTCAACAAAATGTATCAAAAAAGTTATATGAGTTTGGTTTTGATCAATGTCATTTGAAATAAAATTTGTTGTCATCAAATATGACGAAGTGATTTATCACAAATCAAAGTATCTTTTAATTACAAATAAAATTTAATTAATTTCTTTATAATAATAATAGCAATAATACTAAATAAACTAATATTATTTTTTTTTTAAAAAAAAAAAGCATAAAAAATTAATATTATTAATAAAATAATAAAAAATAAAATAAACTAATACTACTAATTCATTTTTTCTAATAATTTTTTTAATTCTTGCATGAATAATTTGATTAATTTTTAATCATTTCTATACAAAATAGTAAAAATTATTTATTATTTAAATTAAACAAATAATATTTAATGAAATGAAAAAAAAAAAAAAAAAAAGTATTGCAGAAAACAGAAAGGAATATCAAAAGATGATAGTGTTGATATTAAGAGGAAAAGATCTGATCGTTTACAAACAACAATTTCAATGGAACCAGGAACATCATCAACAGAGGAACGTTGTAAGAAACTATCTGATACGTATGTCTTTTTTTTTTTTTTAAATTACTGTTTATAATTATTTACCTAACAATTTTATAAGTTTTTTTTTTTATAACTTTATTATTATTAAAAGAAGAAAAAAAAAAAAGATTTTTTAAAAATTACTTTTAAAACACACACACAAAAAAAAATTATTTTATAACTTTGTTTATTTGTTTGTTTTCTTGTCTTTTTTTTTTTATTTTAATTAAAATAATTTTTGAAAATTATGATTAGAATTGAAATGGAAATTTAGAGTTGAAATGAAAATGCAAATTAAAATCTCATCAAATCCATCAAAGTGACGATCGTTGTTTCCAAACAATTTAAAAAAAATATTTTTTAAAATAAATAAAATAACTATTTTATAACATGTTTATTTGTTTCTTTATTTTAATTGAAATAAAAAATTTTTGAAAATTATGATAATAAATTTAAAGGTGAAATGGAAATGCAAATTAAAATCTCATCAAAGCGACAATCGTTCTTTTCAAACAATTTAAAAAATTAATTTATAATAAAAATTATTTTTAAAATAAACAAAAAAACTATTTTACAACTTGTTTATTTGTTTGTTTTTTTATTTTAATTAAAATAAAAAAATTTTTGAAAATTATGATAATAAATTTAGAGGTGAAATGGAAATGCAAATTAAAATGAATCCATCAAAGCGACGATCGCTATTTTCCAACGATTCAGTACAGTTGGAACCTGCTTCAATGCATTTAGCAACAGCAATGTATCCACCAAGACGGATGGATGCATTAATTTCAAACAAAGCACAATTGCATAGTGTAATTAAATAATTAATTAATTAATTAATTAATCAACTAATTTTTTTTTTCATAATAAATAAATTGTTGATTTGATGTAAAAATTTGAATGTTTAATTAATTTCTAATTGATTGAATAAGAATATGAAATTAGTTTAATGAATGGAACAAGAAATAAACTTAAAAACAGTAATTAAAATTAATCGATTTTCAATTAGTTTTAAAAAATTAAAAACGAAAAAGAAAAATGATAAAATAATTTAATTGAAAGATTTTCAAGAAAAAAAAAAAAATTATGTCTTACTTAAACTATAGTGTAAGTTATTTGTTAATTTATAATAAAAAAAATTTTTATCATATGAAAAATTTTCTCATATTTAATCAATAAATGCGAATGGATTTAAGTTTGAATTTAAGTTTAGTTTAAATTAATTGATTTTCTTTCTAAAATATTCTATAATTTCTTGATAAGTTTAAAAAAATTCTGTCAACTAATTTGCAATCATTTAAATGATGAATAATATTTTTTTAGTAATGCTTTATTAAAATTTAATTTTACAAAAAGTATAAAATGAATATGAGACGAAGCAAATTTATAATAACAAATAAAAATTATTGGAAGAAAAAAAAAGAAAACTTTGCAATTCAAAATTTGTATTTTAAATTTATGAATTTTATTCATTTTTTTTTTACAAACTTTCTTTCTTAATTTCAACCAAAAATTACTTTTGATCCTTCCAGATCAAATTTTAATCTAAATTTATGATTAAAACTGAAATTGTTAGCTAACTATTTGAAATAAATATAATTAAGCCTTGAAATATACATATATAATTAACCTGAAAAATTTATTTGAATGTAATTGAAAACAATTCAGTTTCAAAATGTAATTTAAAACGATTTTTAAATTATCAAAAAAAAAAAAAAAAAAAATGATTACAGATTGAAATCACTGAGCAATGCAAATTTCAGAGGGTTTCACAAGATGTTGGAGAAGAATTAGCAACATTTGCGCCACAGCAACAACCCACTGCGCTTATCGGTAATGGACCTATTCCATCGCTAATATCCGGTCGACAACTTGCAAATCATATCGGTGCTTTAAATGAAAAGGAAAAGTTACGACGGACGAGTAATAGTGGGTCAAATCAGATACTAATGCTACAGGAAGCATTAAAGCATAGCTTAGCTAACACTAAACAACAATTAATTCAAAGTAATGAAACATTGGATGGTATGCGAGGGTTAGTTTTTTTTTTTTTTTTAAATTTTAAAATTATTTATGAATTTCTTTTTTTGAATTTAAATTCTTTAGTTGCCATTTGTTGAATTATTTTATTTAAAGTAGACAAATATGCTTAGTTTTTAATAAAAAGAATTACTTTTTTTTTTTGAGTTCAAATTTTTCAATTAGCATTTTTTGAATTATTTATTTCGAAGTAGACGAATACTTAGTTTTTAACATAAAGAACTACTTTTTTTTGAATAATTTTTTGAACACGAATTATTCAATTAGCATTTTTTTAATTATTTATTTGAAACGAACAAATGATTTCAGTAATAGATGATAGTTTTTAAAATAAAGAATTACTTTTTTTTTGAATTATTTTTGAATTAAAATTTTTTTTTGTCATCATTTTTTGAATTATTTATTTAAAATAGACAAATAATTTCATTAATAGATGATAGTTTTTAAAATAAAAAATTATTTCCTTTTTTTTGAACTCAAATTTTTCTTATCATCATTTTTTGAATTATTTTTTTAAAGTAGACAAATACTTAGTTTTTAACATAAAGAATTACTTTTTTTTGAATTATTTTTTGAATTCAAATTTTTCAATTAGCATTTTTTAAATTATTTATTTAAAATAGACGGACAAATGATTTCATTAATAGATGATAGTTTTTAGGATAAAGAATTAATAATTTTAATTCTTTATCATTTACTAATTTCAATTTAGTAAATTGATCTAAACGTTAATTTTGTCATACATAATTATAAATTATGTATGATTCTTATTCAAGAATTTTGTAAATTTTAATAATAAAAGTAAAATTTAAATTTTAATAATTCTTTTGTAAATTTAATAAGTAAATAGTGAAATGAATTTGTTCTTCTTCTAGTTCATTACGATATATGGAATCAGAAAAGCAAAAATTGGGTGATCCGATGGTACTAGCAAAACTAACCAAACTGCCAACGTTTATGTCTACAGGAACTGCTGATTCCTTAGATGAGACAAATGAATTGTCACCAACAATTTCTGGTGGTGCACAAAGGACACCGACAAATGATTGAAAAAGTAATGTTGCAGAATAAAATGTTGAAACTCGAACAAAATGACACTGAAATTATCCTTTAAAAGGAGTATTTATTTAGTTTGACATAATAATTAATTAATTATGTTAGTACTTTTATACAAATTAATTTTTACTTCAAATTCATTCCATTTTTTTTTTTTTTTTTTTGATGTTGTCATCCTTTTTTTTTTTTCATTTTTCATTTTAAAATTTAATAAATTGAATAATTAATGTGTGTATTTTGCTATTTTCCTACATATCCAAAAAACAAAAAACTTTTGTATAAATATATTTTATAAGTATCATTTAAAAATTGCAAATTATTTTAGGAAGTTTTTTTTTTTTTCTTTTCTCTTTTTTTTTTCTTTTCATTTTCGCTTAATTATTTTCCAGGTGAAAATTTAGCTGTAGGAAATATAAAAAAAAAATATGATTGTTAGTGAAATTCTCGATTCAAATTAATTCCTAAATCTGTTCCAATTAATATCTATCTATTATTTTTTCTCTTTCTCTCTCTCTCTCTCTTTCTCATTTAATAAATGATACTTTTACTATAAATTTGCTATATGATAAATATATTTTTTTGTGATAACAAATGATAGCTTCCAAAATTGTAATATTTGAAAAGAAATTTTTAAATTTAATTTTTATTAAATTTGATAATAAAGAGGGAAAAAAGAAGTTACATAATAAAATGAAAAACATTTTAAAATTTTTGTTGCGTCGTCTTTCTCAATCTTTCCTTTTTTGCTATTATTATTATTATTATTACTGTCAATTATAATTATTTATTATTGTTAATTAACCATATAAAAAAAAAAAAAACTTTCATATTTGTTGTAAACATGAAAATATTTACAAAAAAAAAAAAAAAAATATTTTTAATGCTTATATAAAATACTTATGAACACAATGAACTGTCATTTTAGCGAACTGTGATAAGCTTATCAGGACACAATCACACATAATTTATCAAATTTTTATCACATTATTTTTTCTTTTTATCAATTTATCAAATATATTTCTTTTCAAAAAAAATAAAAAAATAAAATTTGCTTTTAAAAACAAATAATATTAAAAAAAAAAAAAAAAATGTATAAATTATAAATTAATTTTGAATAATTAATATCTTATTAAAGCATTCTTTTCATCATTAATCATTGATTTAATAAAAAATATTTCATTTTTCATTTAACAATTCAGTTTTTTCCTTTTTTCCTTTTTTTTTTTTTTTTTTTTTTTTAATATGAAAAAATTGAAATGTAAACAAAGCAAAAAAAAACAAAAAAACAAATGTGATTGTGACTGAGTAAGCAAATTCTCTTTTCTTTGAATGGCGTGAAAATATTTGAACTTGTTTGTTTGTTTATTTGTTTGTTTTTCGTTTTTTTGTGATGAATGAACGAGTGAATTTTAAATGATCAAAAATAAATGGAATTTCTTCATTATTGTCATTATTACAACATATTTTTTTTTTATTGTTATTTATCATTAATTAACATTTTAATTCTTAATCAATTATTTTAGTAATAATTTTTTTGCCTTCCAAATCAAAGTTTCTTTACTCTTAAAACATTAAAAAGTTTAGTCCATTTTTTAGTTTTTTTTTTTTTTTATTGATAATTTAAAAGAAAAGTAATTGAAGAGAGATATTTCATTAACTTTGATTACTTTTACTTAACGCAAAAGTAAAGAAAAATGTTAAAATAAATTTAGGTTAATTTTTAGTATAACAATTTTTTGTTTTCTAATGCTTTTTAAACAATTGCATAAGTTTTTAAAAAAGTTATTTGAAATATTTCATATCAATTTTAATTCATTCTATTATATCAATTTTTCCAGTTGAAAAAAAAAAAAAAAAGGAAAGAATGATTATCATACTGATAGGATAACGCTTATCAGTATCTGACAATGATACATGAATAACTAGTAAACATGACAGTTTTAATTATTATTTAATGAATTTTGAATATTTCAGTGGTTGTTTCAAGCTTTTCGACATTATTTATTAGCACATTTACACTGCAATTTCTTTTTATCATTTCATAAAAAGTTTGAAAATTGAATAATTTATAAATTTTATAAAAATTCAATATTATAATTTATTGTAAATAAAGAAAAAAAAAAGAAAGCTGACAATTTCAATTAGCTAAAATTTTACAGTTTTATCTATATTTAAAAGCATTGCTTTTTTTTTTTTTTTTTTTTGAAAATATCAAAATATCAATTAAATTTACTAAAATAATTCGAATGGTTAAATTTAAATCAAATTATCAATGAGATTTCAAGCACATATTAAATAACTTTTATGATTATTCCAATAATTTTGATAAATTTTGCTTAATTGCAATTAAAATTAATAATTAATCATAGTAGTTAGCAATCTATATCAAATGATAATTGTTAATTCATATCATTCACTAATCTAGAAATGCCTAATCTTATTTGCTCAGCAAACAAAATATCTTATCAGTTACAAAAATACAGCAACAAATAAAACCTTATATTATCATTGTAAATTTTGTGATAAATTTAAATTTTAATTTAGCTTATCATTCAGTGTGCTTAGTTTTTTTTTTCCAATCAAAAATATTTGGAACAAAAATTTACATACAAATAAAAAGTATTCTCATTTCATAAACGTTATCACTAGAATTGACCCTTTGACCCTTTAAATATTGTTAATAGTTGATGCATTATGATAACATTAAGTAACCAAGAATAAAGATAAGTGATAAGACAAATACAGCAACGCCATGAATAGCAATAAATGCATTTGTCCAATCTTCCTGATAACCATTTGCTGTTGATGATTTATCATTATCATTCAGTGATATGCAATTATCTGTTGAATTAAACACACAAATAAATCGATTGATAAGCTCTGATGTTCTGAAAAAAACAAATTTCAAATAAATTTAATTAAAAAAAAAAAAGTAAAAACCAATAAATTTATTCAATTTTTTATTTTAATTGTAAAAAAATACAATTTATTAAAGTTCAAATCATTTTTAATTAGTAAATGATAAGCATTCTAATACGTTTTAACTTAATTTGCAACATAAATTAATTAATTTTAATTACTCATTTCCATTTCAAATTAATCAAACAATTTTTTATTATTAAATTTGATATATTAAAAAAATAAATAAATAAATAAACCTTATAAGCCAATTCCATGGTGGAAGATTTCGACGAATTTTACAACACATCCATAAGATAATTGAAACTGATATACTGAATGTATTAATTATTGTAGCAAATTCCAAAAATCGTACTGAAAAAAGTTTTCAAATTTATTAATTAAATTTATTAAATCTCAAAATTTATTAATTAAAATAAATTAAATTAATTAAATAAAAAAATTTATCAAAATTTGTTCAAAAAATTTTTACACCAAAAAACAAACATTTCAAATTTTTATTTTACTAATAATTTTCATCATTTCATTTATGTTATTGATAAATGATAAAGAAATAAAAATAAATCATTCAAATTTTCTTCATCTCAAAAATTCTTATCATTTTTCTTTTGTTTTTCAATCAAAATTTACTTTTAATGCACAAAAAATGAAAAATTAAATTATTAAATTTAGAAATATATGTATAATAAAATTTGAAAAATCTTATAAATTTAGAAAAATCTAATATTGGTTATTAAATTTAGAAATATATACATTAAAATTTAAACAATCTAATACTAAATTTTAAAAAATCGAACATTAAATTTAGATAAATCTAATATTAGTTATTAAATTTAGAAATATATAATATATATATATATTATACTATAATTTGGAAAAATCTAATATTAAATATAAAAAGTCTAATATTACTTATTAAATTTAGAAGTATATATACTAAAATTTGAAAAAATCTAATATTAAATTTAAAAAAACTTAATATTAAATGTTGAAAAATCTATAATTTAATGTAAAAAAATTGAATATTAAATTAAAAAAAATCTAATACTAAATTAAGAAAAATCGAAACTTAATATTAAATGTTAAAAAATCTATTATTTAATGTAAAAAAAATTGAATATTAAATTAAGAAAAATCGAATATTAAATTAATATTAAATGTTGAAAAATCTATTATTTAATGTAAAAAAATTAAATATTAAATTATGAAAAATCGAAACTTAATATTAAATGTTGAAAAGTCTATTATTTAATGTAAAAAACTTGAATATTAAATTATGAAAAATCGAGTATTCAATTAAATTTAAATTTTATCAAAAAAAAAAAAAAAACACAAATTTGCATACGTATATTTGGTGTTGAAGCAGATGAGCTAAGATGCGGTGAAATAAGCATCGAATAGAGTTGAAGCGTTGAAAATTGTAGGAAAAGAACAAACATTTTTGCAAATATTTGTAAATTAATTTGTCCAAGTAATGGTGTTAAAAGGAAAAGAATTGATGTAATTATATTTGGTAATGATAATTCAATATGCAATGAATTTGATGAGCGTTTTAAATTTAAGCAAAAACCAAGCTGAAATTATAAATTTGAAATAAACAAAAAAAAATATTTATTAATTAAAATTTTAAAGTGAAATTAAAAAATTTTCATTTATTGCTAATAAACATTTTATTCCAAACAATTAGCACTCAGCAATTATTTTATCAAATGATATATTCATTCAATTATTTTTTAATGATTAATTTATAAATTAATTTTATTTCCTGCCTAATAATCATTGTACTGCAACAATTAACAACAAAAACAATAATATTAATTTGTAATTAAAATGAAATTAAATAACTTTTTTTGAGCATTTAAATTAATTAAATTTAGAAGAGAAAAATTTTTTTTAATAACAATTAACACTTTTAATTAGCACAACAAAATAATAATATTAATTTGAAATTAAAATTTAATTAAAATGAAATGAAATAATTTTTTTTTCTCAAATAATTAATTAATTAGACAAAAAATACCTGTGGTATTTGTGAATCTTGCATTATTTGAACAGTTGGTGTGCTACCAGAAATATACCAACCATAATCACGAAAATATTTTCCATCCGTAAAAACCGGTCGACCTGATGTGATAAATTCGATTCCAGCCTGAAATAATTTATGCATAAAAATTTTTGATTATTATTTCCAACAAATATTCATTATTAAACAAATAAATTTCATTTATTTAACAAATACTTCTGTAACTTATATTTCTAAACAAAAAAAAAAAAAAAAATGACAATAATAGTAATTTAAATTTAAACTTTAATTAATTAAATTAATTAATCTAATATTTTTAAATGAATTAGCATTTTATTACAAATATATTATATCTAACTTTCTTCTTTTTTTCTTTTTTCATTTTTAATTTAAAAAAAAATAAAAAAAATTTTAACCTGATTCATATGTGGTTCAATTTGATAGCAACATTTGTACATATCATTTGGAAAATTTTTGAAATCTGAATCATCGCAAAATGTTCGAAGTGAAAAATTAATGATAGCACGAATGGTACCAGTGCTATTTATTGATACACGTCGTATTTCCATTAAATCACCGTTACGAACTGCTGTATCAAATCTAAAATAACTCTCTCTCTCTCTCTCTCTCCCTCTCTCTTTGAAAAATTTAGAATTTAATTTAAAAAAGAAAAAAAAAAATTTTTTTTTAATAATTATAAATTTTAATGTAAATTTTTAGAATTTATAGAATTTATTTTGATATATTTTAAACAATCAATCAATTTACTATTATGTATTACTATTGTAATTTAAAATGGTTAAAATTAAAATCTTTGAATAAATTTATAATTTAACAAAGGAGCAATTTTTTTCCAACAATTATAAATTATTATTATTAAATTTTAATGTAAATTTTTTTAATTAGAATTTATTTTGATATTTTAAACAATCAATCAATCACTATGTTACTGTTATTGTAATTAAAATAACTTTTTTTTTCTCTGGAAAATTTATAGTTAACCAAAAAAAAAAAATAATTTTATTTTCAGTAATTATAAATTAATACTAAATTTTAATGCAAATTTTGTTAATAGAATTTATTTTGATATTTTAATCGATCAATGAATCAATTATTATGTATTATTGCTGTAATTAATTATTTGTTATTTCAAAAGTTATAAATAATTTAAATTAATTTAATTATTACGTTTGTGCGGTAAGCATTGGAATCCAAATATGATTGACAGAATTAATTTCCATTTTTTTTAATTTCCAATGTTCCTCATTCCAGCTAAGTCGACTATCATCCCAGAATACACTGATATAACCATTAATATTTAATTCTTTTAGGAATTCATTCTGAAATTATCATTCATTGAAATTTTAGTAAAATTTAAATTTCAATTCTTTTAATTAATAATAACAAAAAATTAGGTATTTAAGTAAAATTTATAAGAAAAAATGAGATATTTATTTGTCTTAGGAATTCATTCTGAAATTATCATTCATTGAAATTTTAGTAAAATTTAAATTTTAATTCTTTTAATTAATAGTTACAAAAAATTAGGTATTTAAGTACAATTTAAAAGAAAAAAGAAATATTTAATTCTCTTAGGAATTCATTCTGAAATAATTATTCATTATATTTTGATGAAATTTTATTTTTTAATTAATAATTACAAAAAATTAGGTATTTAAGTAAAATTTAAAAGAAAAAAAAGAACAAAATCCGGAAGAGATATGAATCTAAAGTTTGTTATAACAAAGAAATTTTCTTTTTTTTTTTCTCATCTTCGATTTATATGAAACAATAATTTTTCTGTTTGATTCGACTTGAAATGAATTCCTGTACTGAAAACCGGTTTTCCAATCCACTTAATATAAATTATGAACCGGTTTTAAAGCGCAAATATGCTTAATTCATCATTTTAGCTTCTATCACACATGCTTAATGCAAAAGAAAAACATGAATTACTTTAAAAAAAAATCATTATTTAATCGGTAATTTATTTCCAATATAATTTTATACAATTATAACTATTTTTTGTGCTATTTTTTTCAAAGTTTTCTTGCAAAATAGTAAATTTTATTTTTTTTATTTTTATTTTTAAGTTATTAATTTTATTAATTTACTAATAAATAAAAATATTTGTTTGTAAAATTTGCATTTATTCCGTTGAATAAGTTGAAATTATCATTTTGAATTTTTTGCTTAATTTATTTAATTTTAATAATTTTTTTTTATAATTTTAATTATTTAATTTTTTTTTTCTTTTTGATACTCTCTGATTTACTTACCATAACAAAATGTTGTAGTGTTATTTGATGAAAAAATAATTTAACTCTCGATCCTCTTGCATTGGCGGCTTCTGGCGGAAAAGCAGAAAGCGCCTGAATTGCATTGAAATATTGCGCTTTTCGTTGTGCTTCTGCTGCCAAATAATAATACAAGCATTGTTCGAGAATTTCAAATTGATGTCGATTTAATGTTTCAACATCTAAAATTAAAATTTAATTCAAATAAAAGAAAAAAATTTTGTTTTTTTTTTCAATATTCAAATAATTAAAATAAAAAAAAAAAAGACAATTAAAATTTATTGAAATATAATTTTGTTTTCTTTTCATTCATTCTTTCTTTTTTTTTTAAAAAAAAAATTATATGAATGTTTCATTTTTGAAATAAAATTTTAGTAAAACTAGTTTGAAAAAAAAAAAAAAAAAAAAAAAAAATTAATTTCTCTTTGTTAAGAATTCGTTTCATTTTTCAATCAAAAAAAATTTTTTTTTTCTTCTCTTTACTATATTAATTGATAAATGAATTTAATTTAATTTTTTAATTTTTGCATTTTTATGAAATTAAATTTTACCCGAAACATTTCTTAAATACTGGCATGTATTTAAACTAAATAAACTTGGAATTGGTTCTAAATTTCGAGGATTTTGTGGTTCAACGCCAGGTGATTCTTCACATTTTACCATTAATAATAATAGCACACATAATATTGTTGCTCCAAGCATCTGAAAATTTTATTTTAATTAAATATAATTTAATTATTTGAGTGAAAATTATTGAACAAATAAAATGAATTGAGAATTTCACTTTATCATTAACCTATTTCATTTCTAGTTTTGCATATATATGTGTATTAATTAGCTTTAATTACTAAATAATTTAACAAATTAAATATTAGTAAATATGAGATTTATAAAATTTTGTATTTTTTCAAAAAGAATTTTATAGAAAAAGTTTTACTAAACAAATTTGAGCAATAATCGAAATGATAGAAATAAATAAATTTTAGTTAATCGAATAATAAAATTTTTACTCTTATATATTTTAAATTAAGTAATTTATAAACTTTGACCTCAAGAAATTGTATGATCTCAAGAAATTAGCAACAAAGTTCAATTTAACAATCGTATTTTAAAATTAAACATTAAAGATATCAATCAGATAGAAAAGTGTTAATGATAGAAGAGATAATTTCATTGGATAAATTTGATCAAAGTAAATTTAATTTAAAAAAAAAAATAAACATTTTTAATTTTTGTATTCAAAAATTTTGATTTCATAAAAAATTTGCTATAAATTAAAAATTAATCAAATTAATTTATGAAAAAAAAAGCACACAAAAAATTTTAACGATTTCAAAAAATTTTATCTCAATTTTCTCTCTAATCTTTTCGTTTTTCCACTTCAAATATTAGTGCCATTAATTTTAAATTACATTTCACGGCAAATTTATTATATTTTCATTTCTCTTTGTTGAACATTTTCAAATTTCTCTTTCAAATGTAATTTTTAGTTCCAATATAATTTTTTTATTTTTACTTTATTAATTTTTAATTAGCAACTAATTGTAAATAAATAATTTTTGGCTAATTGAAGGTTCATTTCTTGTAAACTAGAGTTAACGAATAGTAAGTAAAGTTAATTAACTTAAAAAAAAAAAAGTGATTAGAGCTAATAGATAGTTATAATACAGTGATTATAGCTAATTTATAATTATAATACAGTGATTAGAGTTAATGAATACTTGTAATACAATGATTAAAGCTAATGGATAGTTATAATACAGTGATTAGAGTTAATGGATAATTGTAATACAGTGATTAGAGCTAATAAATATTTGTAATACAGTGATTAGAGCTAATGAATACTTGTAATACAGTGATTATAGTTAATAGATAGTAGTGATACAGTGATTAGAGTTAATGAATAATTGCAATACAGCGATTAGAGTTAATGGATAATTGTAATACAGTAATTAGAGCTAGTAAATAGCTGTAATACAGTAATTAGAGTTAGTGGATAGTTATGATATAGTGATTAGAGCTAATAAATAATCGTAATACAGTGATTAGAGCTAATGGATAATTGTAATACAGTAATTAGAGCTAGTAAATAGTTGTAATACAGTGATTAGAGCTAATAAATATTTGTAATACAATGATTAGAGCTAATGAATATTTGTAATAAAGTGATTAGAACTAATGGATAGTTATAATACAGTGATTGGAGCCAATTTATAGTTATAATACAGTGATTAGAGCTAATTAATACTTGTAATACAGTGATTAGAGTTAATGAATACTTGTAATACAGTGATTAGAGTTAATGGATAGTTCTAAATACATGTTAAACTAAAAAAAAAAATTAAAAAGTTAAACATATTGAAAAAAAAAAAAAATTAAACATTTACAATTACTATAAGATAATCAAACATTTCTAACAAAATTGAATAATCATTTTGGATATTTATAGCAATAATTGATAAATGAAAATTTCATTTATCAATTCATAAATGCCTGAAAAGGACTGCCCCCCCCTACCCATTGCTAAACTTGAATTAAGTGTCACTTAATGCATCAGCTAAGATAATTTAAAATAAAAATTCAGATTTTATTACCTGTTTCATTACTGAAAGCTTGTTTTTACCCACATACACACATACACACATACACACATACACATATACATACATACACACATGCACACAGATAAACATGCATACATACACTTTTTATCATTTAGTGAAAAACTATTTTTATCAGTTTTTTTGTTTTTTTTTAAAGAAAGGTATTGAAAATTGCTATTATTTGGAAATTCAAAAAATGATTTCTTTTTTTTTTTTTTTTTTTTTCTTTGAAGAAGTACTAAAAATTATTGTTTATATGCAATTTGAATTGAATTAAAATCAATTTGAAAACATTTACTTTTTTTATTTGAATTAAATTAAATGAGTTTAAATTAAATACAGAAATTAAAATCAAATAAATTCTGATTTAAGAGTGAAAAATTAAAATGAAATGAAATAAATTACTGATAATGAGAAAATAAATTTTTAATTAAATTCTTTCATTTGAATTAAATTAAATGAGTTTAAATTAAATACAGAAATTAAAATCAAATAAATTCTGATTTAAGAATGAAAAATTAAAATGAAATGAAATAAATTACAATTATGAGAAAATGAATTTTCGTTTTGTTGTTTGGGTTTTAATATAAACTATAAAAAATTTTTGCTACGATAAGTTTTAAAAATTTTAAATTAACGAATTCAAATTTCGGCAAAGAAAGTTTTATAAAGATTGAAAATTCAACAAAAAAGTAAATATAATAAATGTGAAATTACGTTTTATAATTATGCAAATGTTCATTTCTTCACAAAAAATAATTGAAATAAATAATCGAAATTATTACTTATCAAACAATTTTGAAATTGGAAATAATTAATTATTATATTAATTTATCATAGTTTATTCCTAATAGAAAATTGAAATTTTATAAGTTTAAACTATGATAGATATCAAAGATATCATTCTGAGCATAAATTATAATATTAATATAAAAATTAATGTTTTTGAATTTTAAGGAAAAAATTAAAGTTTTACTAGTAGCTTGCAAAAAAATTTTTGTTTTTCTAATTTGTCTAAGAAAAGTTTTCTTAATTTTTCTAAAATTACTAAAACCTTTTACTTATTCTAACATTTTTCAATTCATTCCCACTTTTTTCCTCAATCTTATCATTTTCTAATTTATCAATGTTATCAGTTGTACTTCGAGATTGTATCAAACAATGAAATAATAATCGAAATTTATTCGTCGTTGTATTTACAAAGCAAATTAATTTTGCTTATCAACGCTTTTTCTAAATTTTTACACTTATTAAAATGAAAATTTATAAAAAATATTGCGAATGCTAAAAGATTTAATAAAAAAAAATTAAAAAAAAAATTTTTTTTTATTTTGCTGATACAATTAGCAAATAATTTAATTAGCTGATACATTGCTTAAAATGCATTGAATATTAAAGTACAATAAGAAGTAAAAAGCAATTTTTATTTCTTTCTTTTTTTTTTTTTAATTTCAAAATTGTCCTTAATATTTATTTCACAAAAATAATTGAAGTTTTTATGAAAAGAAAAAACATAGTACGAATTTTTCTTTTTTTTTGCAAATGCTTTAAAAAAAAACAAAAACAAAAACAAAAAAAAAAAAAAAAAAACTATCGATGATTTTAATCAGGAAACTAAAAAAGTAAATTGATATATTTTGATTTGTTTTAAATTCTTTTTTTTTTTTTTAAAAAAAAAAAGAAAGAAATTTCATTTAAAAAGAAAAAACTGATAATCAGAATATTTCAAAATTTTGTGTAATTGCATTGATAAATAACAAAATGGTATTTTGATAATGATAAAATAATAAATTTTGCATGATAAAATTATAAATAATTTATAATTGATAATTTGTAAAATTTTTTTCATAATTATTAAAAATATTTGACAATTTCTGAAAATATTATCAATTGAATTAAATTCTAATTTTAATTAAAATATAAATGAAAGCGTTGTATTGAGGGAAAATTGAAAATGTAAGATGAGAATTATTCAAACTTTCTTAAAATCTAAATGCTTAATAAATTTAAAATTAAAACCGGTTTCTTTCTTTTTCTTTCTTTCTTTCTCTCTTTCTTTTCATTTCTTTTTTTTTTTTTTTTTTTTTTGTCTTTCCTTTCTCATTCTGAAATGATCAAATTAAATGTGGTAAAATTAGAGAAATTATATATATTTATTCGACAGGTTTGTTTAATCCCATTTGCCTTTCTTTCCTTCTTTCTCTCTCTCTCTCTCTCTCTCTCATTTGATATCCTTTTTGTTGTACTTTCTTCATCATTTTATTATCATTTCTATCTTATTGATAAAATTTCATTTTAAAATTTAAACTGCAAAAACTTGAAATGCAATTCAATTACGGTATCAAATCAGAAAAACAAGTCCATTTTCTCTAGCATTTAGCAATTCATTCAAATGGGATTATAGATGTTGTAAATTAAATTCAACTAATTCAACAAAAATTTTATTCCTTTTTATATTATTATTATTTATTATTATTTATTATTGTTATTATTATTATCATTATTATTATTATTATTATTGTTATTATTATTATTATTATTATTATTATTATTATTATTATTATTATTATTATTATTATTATTATTATTATTATTATGACCTTACTATTAGTGCTTAACAATTCATTCAAATCGGATCATTAATGTTGTAAATTGAATTCAACTAATTCAACAAAAATTTTATTCCTTTTTATATTATTATATGCTATTTATTTATTTATTTATTATTATTATTACTATTATTATTATTATTGTTATTATGACCTTAATATTACTTAAAATTCGAATCGCTTCACAATCTTTTGAATTTAATTTTTTTTAAAAAAAGAAAATAACAATGTTTTGTTCTAAAGATTTTCATAAAATCTTTCTATAATTCTCTGAAAAAATGAAGGAAAAAATTTATTGCATATAATTAATTGAAATAATTGAAAATACTTAAAAATATTTGTGGAATTGATAACAATTAGAAATGAATGAATAAATTTTATAGAAATGAGCGAAACATTTAAATCTTTTTCTTATAAATTTAATTTCTTTAACTATAAATGATAGATGGTAAAATTTTAAACAATTGAACTTCAATTCAATTCTATTCAT